CCGCCAGTTTGTGCCGGGACCCGTACTGCCTCAGCTACCACTGCGCCAGCCACCTGGCCGGGGCGGCGGCCGCCAGCGCGTCGTGCGCCCACGATCCGGCCGCCGCGGCCGCCGCGCTCAAGTCCGGATACCCGCTGGTGTACCCCACGCACCCGCTGCACGGAGTGCACTCCTCGCTGACGGCAGCCGCCGCGGCGGGGGCCACCCCGCCCTCGCTGGCCGGCCACCCCCTCTATCCCTACGGCTTCATGCTCCCCAACGACCCGCTCCCGCACATCTGCAACTGGGTGTCGGCCAACGGGCCGTGCGACAAGCGCTTCGCCACGTCCGAAGAGCTGCTGAGCCACTTGCGGACCCATACGGCCTTCCCTGGAACAGACAAACTGCTCTCGGGCTACCCCAGCTCGTCGTCTCTGGCTAGCGCGGCCGCCGCAGCCATGGCTTGCCACATGCACATCCCCACGTCCGGCGCACCCGGCAGCCCAGGGACGCTGGCGCTGCGCAGCCCCCACCACGCGCTGGGACTCAGCAGCCGCTACCACCCCTACTCCAAGAGCCCGCTCCCCACGCCCGGCGCCCCCGTGCCGGTGCCCGCCGCCACCGGACCCTACTACTCCCCCTACGCCCTCTACGGACAGAGACTGACCACCGCCTCGGCGCTGGGTTATCAGTGAGGGTGGTGGGGAGGGCTAGCCGGGGAGAGGAAGGAGCTGGGGGGAGGGGAGGAGCCGAGGGAAGGGCGGGAGCCACGGCCAAGGCCGCTGATACCCTTGCGCGTGGGGGAAGACCCGGGCCACCGAAGGAAACAAGTATATCCTCGTATCTATCTACCCCACAACAGTGGTGATCGAGACCCGGTGGGAAATTTCCCTTTCCTCATCTCTCACCTCCCCACCCAAACTTTATAAAAGTTGGAAAAAAATATCATTTGACTTTTTATAGAAAAAGAAGGAAAAAAAATAATTGAGAAAGTGTACATCTGAGAACTTCATTGGTGGACACTGGTAATTTATTTATGTTAGCTCCAAGCGGACCCGTGGTTCAAAAGTGCATTATTTAGTTTGAGCTCCGTAGGTTAAAAAGGAGGAGGGAAAAAGGAAACACACACACACACACACACACACATTTAAACTTGAGGGTGATAATGTGGAAAGCAAACCCTCCCATCCCTTGTAGATTATAAATAAAAACAAAACCGCCACAGAACTAGAGGTCTTCTCTTTAATGTTACTTTAAAATTGCTATGATTGTATCGTACGTTCTTATTTAATGTCTGATTGAAACACCAATTTACATGCATGTTTGTTACAAAAAAATGAAAAAGTGAAACAAAACAAGTCACAATTTGTCAGCTCTGATTTCAAATTGCAATTATTTTTAAGGTGTATACCATCAAAAGAGAATGGGTATTTTTTTGTATGTATTCTGGAAGAAAACAACAAAAAAAAGGAAAAACAATTCTATTCCAAACCTCATTTGCCTTATTTTGTTCTTTAAAAGGAACACTTAACTATTTTTAATTTTTAAGCCCACCCGCCGAGAAGGGGGCAAGGTTTACGTCATGTACTAAAATAATAGACAATGTATCTCTTTAAAGATTAAAATTCCGTATATTTGATGTATTAAAAGGTTTTACTTCTTATTCATCCTTTTTTATTTATTTTTTATTTTTTTCTTTTAATTAAAGACGAGCAGGGCTGTTTGTGGCCGCTGTGGGTTCCGGGGCCTCCACTGCTTCGCTTCTTTCCAGGACGGTGGCCGATTTCCCCTTTGCTTTGTTGTGATTTTCTGGAAGAGGCGCCGGCTTCGGAAGAGCCCGCCCAACCTCGGGGTTGGCGTGGAGGGAAAATATTTTTCAAGAGGGAATTTCACAATTTGGGAAGATAGTGTCCTTAGCTGTGGCTCATTTCGTTTCCATCTCAATCTTCCCCCGGCAGCTGCTTCGTGAAAAGTGAAAGGAGTGGGGCGGGGGAGGCTTTTTTGTTTTGTTTTGTTTTTGCTTTTTGTTCAATTCCCTACTTGAGATTTTGGGGGGGAGTTTGGGTTTCGTTTTGTGTCGAGAGCGCAGCAGGCCGGGACTCGCCGGGCCGGGCCAAGGCCCGCGGGGACGTGCGGTCGCTCGCCGTCCCTCGGCCGGGGGCGGCCATCCGGAGACAGTGAGGGGGGGGGGACAAGGGGGTGCGGGGGCAACCTGTTTCCCCGGCGTGGAAGAGTGCGAGGAATTCTCTAGTCCCTTGAGAGCAAAGTGAGTTCGCTCTGCTTTTCTTAGGGCAGCCCAGCGCTAGCCAAACACCACCCCCACCCCGCACCCGCACCCGGCTCCTTCTCCCGCTCTCGTCCGCGTGGAGACCCGCGTGGCAGGGCGGCGCCGCGGCTGGTTTCCCCCCCCTCCGGGCCCGATCGCCGCGCAGCCGGCGATCTACCCCAGTATGCGCAGGAGGGTGCGCTGGGGCGAAGGACCCCTCGCCCCCTTCAAAGCCGGCCCCGCGAGGCTCCCGGCGGCGCCTCTGCCCCCCCCCGGGCCCCCAGGCTGGGGCGATCCGGTGGACTTTGGACGTCGACGGCCGGTTCTGATTTCCAAGCTCCGCTCGGCTACGGCGCGGCGGGAGCCTGGGTCCCCGCGCGGGTCCCCGCGGCGCGCGCCGATCCCTTTCCCCGAACTTGGGAGGAAATGTTCTGATCGCTTTCGGGTGGGGACGGGGGTCGGCGATCCAGCCGCTCTCGGGCACTGCAGGCCTGGACCCGGGCTGGCTGGGGAGCTCCGGGCCCACGGGCGCCCTTTCGTGGGACCCCGGGGTGACGCCGCGCGGCGCTGAGGCTCAGCCCCAGACGTCCCTCCTGCAATCAGACCGTTCTGGGTTCCCGGAGTCTTAGGCTGCCCTCGGTCCGCGGTTCCCCTAGTTGCTTCTAGAATCCCTCTGGGCCTCGGCCTTAGACAGCCGCCCGGCCTTCTCCGCCATTTGCACCGGGGTGGGTGACTTTGGAGATTTCCCCACCCTCCTCCCGGCGGCGGCCTCCCGGCGGCGGGGCCTTTTCCCGGCTTGCACGCACAGCAACCCCCGGCGACCTCCGGGACGCTGCGGGAAGCTCCCAGGCCGCACCCCCCGCAGCTGTCTTGGTGAAGACGGGCCGGGCCTTGTCCCTGCTCCCCGAGAAGGGACAGCCCCCCCCCCCGTGCGCGCGACCCGCGAGCGGGAGCCGAGGACCCTGATCCTGTCCGGGAGGCCGCAACTCGGCTCCCACACTGATGGAGAGGAGAGGCAGTCCTGGGGCGTCTGGGGAGACCTCCGAACCACCGGGCGGTGGTCCAGACTCCCCGACCAACCCCCCCCCCCCACACACCACCCCGGTGCGAAGGTGACCGGAGATTCCCCTACGCCATTGTCCAGGCCGCAGCGCACCCAGTGCCCAGCGCGGGCCACCTGAGCCTGACCACTGAGCCCCACAAACGTCGCCTGCCTTTGCCTTGAGTCCTTCCCTGGACGGGGGGGGAGTGGGGGGGTCCTGGGCCGCCACGTCGGTCGGGCCTGCCAGGTTCTGCTTCAGCAGGGAAGAACCTAGACGTTCTCTCACGCGAAGATCCAGGCCTGGGACCTCCAGAGACAACCGGGGACATTCGTGCCCTCACGCCCCTTCGCTATTAGTAAAACCTGAAGCTCAAAAGCTCTTCTCGGATTTTGTTTTTTAACGGGGAGCCGCTCTTGCCGAGGAAGCAGAATTCCAGAGCCTCGGGGGCCAGGGGTTGAGACGGAAAAGCTTTCCCGACGTGCTGCACGGAGCCAAGTTACCCTAGGCACGGAATGAGTGGAAAGGGAGTGCTAGTGTGTGCTTCGTTAGACCCTTTGGGATGGGGGGCAAGGGCACTCCCCGCAGCCTGCCCCAGCACCCCCTCTCCTCCAGCTCGCTCTCTCTGGCATCCTCCCGAACGCTCGGCGAGCCCCAGCACCGCCGCGGGCGGAGGAAGCCGGAGCCCAGTGCGCGTCCGCCAGGCGGCGCTGTGGAGCCCGGCGAAGCGGGGGACGGAGAGCGGGAATCCTGTGGCTGGAGCGCGGGCCTGCAGGCTAGATGGTCACCCTAAAACCCCGGAGCCATCTCCAGCTTTGGGTGGCTTTGGAGGCGGTGTCTAGGAGTCCCCGTTGTGTCGCTTGTGACTCCTTTCCTGCTGCTGGCCACCTCCTCTGCTTCTCCACCCATTCAGCTCTGCCCTTGCTTTCCCTGGCTCTCTTTCCTTACCGCAAAAGAATGGTCCCAGGAATCACAGAGCCCACCACCATCCGAAGGCTCCCCACGCACTCGTGTATTCCGTTCACTGATGACTTCCAGCGCTTCTGTACTTCCCTCTACTGTCCTTTCACCCTGATGGAGAAACTGAGGCCACCGTCCTGGAAGGCAAATGTCCGGACAAGCGGGAGAAAGCCCCAGGCGTTCTTCTCCATTCATCCCTACTCTCTCCCACCCCCACCCCTGTCCCTCCGTTGGTGACCCCCGTGTCCTTGTGCTAAGTAACTCAAAGTAAATGCCAATAAGGAATGTGTGCCTCATCTGTAGCCACAGACAGATGCAGTAATGAAATCCGTCCCAGGCCTGCAACCCTCCGGATGAGCACAACCAACACAGATGCAGATGCTTATGACGGCACTATGCACTTGTGGCTGCATCCGTGCAGGCATCTGCCTGCTCAGACTCTAGCAGGCCCCCTGTGTGTGGTGCACACTGAACTCGCATGCAGTAAGAGAATGAGAGGTGGTGGATATGGGAAAGGCCTTGAGGAAAGGCAGGTGAAAACACTCCTCTAAGTGATGAGATCCCCCCACCCCTCCAGTGCTTTGCAGATCTCATTAAAGGTGTCCAGAAGGTGGGGACTGTTTCCTGCCAGGCCATGCTGGGACTCCGCAGCACATATTGGCTCCTCCGCCATATGGGCCAATGGCCAGGTTGGGCTCAGAATGACTGCAAAGCCCTGGATGTCCTGCTTATACCATCTCTTATGGACCATGTTCAGCCCATATTATCCTGTGTCATTCCATTAAATTTCCATCCATTCCATGCAGTTATTTGTGTCTCTGCCCTATTTTTTAAGATAAGAAACCCAAGGGTTCATGGGGGAAAGACACCAGCAAGTGAGTGGCAGAGAATAAGCAGGATTCTTACCTTGGCTGTCCCCCACTGAGATTTTAGTGTGTGTGTGTGTGTGTCTGTCTGTCTGTGTGTGTGTGTGTGTGTGTGTGTGTGTGTGTGTGTGTACACTAGAGCTTCAACACAGGGCCTGGGTACTGTCCCTTCGCTTTTTCCTTCA